TAATGGAGATTTCCTCACTCCGAAAAGAAATTTGTATGACTAAAGAGCACCACTTTGTTAGTCACTGTAGGTTTTTGTTTCTACTAAGCAATTCAGCAGATGGATTCACTGAATAGCTTCAACCTGAGAGGAGAAGCTAATAAGTACAGTCATAAAAATAGTGCGGTATCCTCCATGGCACAGTGCTGAATCCACCCATGCCGTTTGGTCTTATGATGATGATGAACAATAAATCCTTGAACAATAGAAAAGTATAAAACATACAAAACAGTAGTTATGGCTCTATAACCACAACAAACAAGATTGCATATCAAAAGGCACATTGTGGCCTAAACTGCCTCCCATTCTCGCATTTTCTATCGCATCACATTTCTTAGGTTGTCTTTTCCCACATGGCACGTTCACAAATACTCAAGCAAATGCAACACTGGTGTGAACACAGTCTGCACTTTTGCATTACAACACTGCACTTTCTGCACCCACTTTCTGCTTTTTAATACACTTCTCTTGTGTCCTTTCAAAAATTCCACTTCCTAAGTTCTTGGATAAAGATTATGTGAAATCCTTAAATTTCACATTTGATGAAGAGTATATTCGGTGAGCTGTACCTCCACCTAGTGGTTGAGTCCGTTCATTACAGCTACCTTCTTCTAATCCCAAATAAACCAAGTCCGTGCTTTGTGATGTAGCTGAAAAGTTATCCTTACTGGGATGAAATGCTGCAAAAGTCTCAGGTAATTCATGCTTTGCGCATCCGCATGTCCGCGAAGGTCGAGTGACGTAATTTGCGTTACCTTGCCAGGTCCACGAGGGTCCGTGGGACTCTATGTGTGCAGACATCCGCAAAGCGAAAGCCCCGACTGCACAGGTGCTACAATGCTTGGAAACCATCGGCGTACGTGGACAGAAGCCAGTCTCTCTATTTGAAGTATGAATAGCGACGCGTGCGCGCCCCTATTCGTGTCCATGTGAGCACAAAGCATGAATTTCCCTTAGTGTTTCCTTCACTCCTGGCCATGATGCTACGCTTACCTTCCTTTTTTTGTCTCCCATTCCTGTAGAAACAGAAAGCAAGTAGGTGATTTAATGGGAAATTTAGTTATCATTCTAAAGATCAGTTTTGAGTTTAGGTAAAACTTACAAATAAGCAATAAGATAATGCTGGAAATAAGACAAACCATACGTGGAACCAAATTAACCTATTTCAGTTACATTGACATGCTGTAACACAAACATGCACATAAAATCAACTTTCAAATATTTCCAGCTCAACATAGCAAAATGGCAAAAATATTAAAAACATCATTTTTATATTTACAAGCTCTGACACAAATATTTTTTCTAATCGGAACAATGATACAGACTAACATTTAAAGTTGTCAGTAGATTTGAACAGATTTGTTTAAAATTAAAATGACACTGTTTATTAAAATGATATTTTGTTTGGACAAAATGAAACAAACTTGCAATAAACAGCCCAAACAATTTGCAGTCCCAGTAGCACAGCACTGCACTGGAGGAGCAATAAACTTCAGCTCAGGGGCCTGGAGGAGGAGTTCAGGGTTTCCTCCACAAGAGAGGCACTAATTTAACAAGACTCCAGTGACTTCAAAGTAGCATCAGTGGGCATCGTGGTGTGGACTGGCAAGAAGTGGAACCATCCCACAGCCATGGTACAAAAATACCTAACAGCCCACAGCAAGAACAGATGCCATCTAGACCTGGAGGAGGTGTGGGTAGGTGTTGAAGAGAAGAGAACCAGCAGGATGGTGAGAATGTAGCAGCAGGGGGCATGAACGAGGTTTAAAAGGAGCTCTGGAGAGGAAGCTGACCTGGACTGACATCTGGCAGGCAGAACCACAGTGCATCAAGTTTATGGTCCAGTCTGTTTACATCCTAGCCAGCCCAGATAACCTGCATGTTTGTGGCAAGAGTGACATTTCAACATGTCCCCTATGCCCTGGAAAGGGTACACTGGGACACATCCTGAGCAGCTGCCCTAAAGTCCTTGGAGAGGGCCATTACCGCTGGTGGCATGACCAGGTGCTGAAACCAGTGGCTGAGGCCATTTCTGGTGCAGTGGCCAACAACAGACACATCCGCAGCCAGATGATAATCTTCTTTGTAAGGGCTGGAGAGAAGCCACGACCACAGCTAACACCATCAGCCAGCCCGCTCTCATCGGCATCAGACTGGAAACTGCAGGTTGACTTGAGAAGGCAGCTCAAGTAACCAGATGATGTGACACCAACCTCCTTGAGGCCAGAAGTGATGCTGACATCTGCTTCTTCTAAGCAGGTCCTCTTATTGGAGCTGACAGTCTCCTGGGAGGACCGCATGGAAGAGGCCAGTGAGCGCAAGCAGCTCAAGTACCACGAGCTTGTTGAGGAATGCTGAAGAAGGGGCTGGAAAGCTCACTGTGAGCCCTTAGATGTGGGATGTAGAAGCTTTGCTGCCCGCTCCTTATGCAAGACCTACACCCTCCTTGGCATCACAGGAGCTGCAAAGAGGGGAGCCTTAAAGTCCACAAAGGAGCCTTGAGGTGGATTTGGATAAAAAGGTCTGAGAAGCAGACAGTGCTGCTGGGACACAAGTCGAGGTCTTTCAACCCTGGCTGGGTTTCCTGAGTGAGGGTGTCTGATGTTATGAGACATCAGTACAGTACATGGAGCACGTCCTTGTTGTTGCTCTTCTGCTTCCTCTCAAACATCTGCTGACTGAATGTGCATATTTTTCTGTGCATGTTCACACACTGTCAAAATACTAAACACAAGGCTGCTAACTTCTTCAGACAGTTATTTCTGACTGTTTGTGCCTTTGTGGTCCACAGTACCATACCCACATCTTTTCTTCTGTGCATAAAAGTAAATAAATTACCAAGTAAAGGTGCATAAAAGTAAATCACTGTGAAAATGACAACAACCTGTCAATGCAGTTGTTTATATTGTACTCAACAGCAAGGTTACCCTGACCTGGTGTTATCATTCACAGTAGTTAAAGATTTTGTGAGCTGAGCTGTGACAGCAGACATAGTTCAATAAAGTAATACCATGTGATCACACAGAATTCATCCATACGCATGTGTTTATGTTGTGTGCTGCTGTGATTCCATTAACCTCCTGTGAAGCCTGACAAGAGAAATCTGTCCAAAAAGTTGCCTGAGGAATTATTTAAGGAGTGCACATGAAAAAGGGAAAACAGCTCACTCGTACCTTTGCCTTTTGCATGACAGTTCCTGTGGAAGAAGCATAAACAGATGGAGGTCTCCTGCGCATCTCTGCAGCACAGTTCACTGGTAAAGACTCGCTGTAAAGATTCTGGGTCTTTCTGCTGAAGGTCTACACCAAGAAGAGTAAATAAAAACTGTGTATGCAGACAGACATGCATGCAAACAAAATGTTGTATGTGAAAGAGCAAATATACCTTAGCGCTTGGTTTAGCCTCGGCTGGTGCACCCAATACTCCACCTGCCAGGCTCTTCTTCAGGTTTTCCTTGACCTGGGTCAGTCGGAGCTCCAGGTCCACCCTTTCTGCCTCTTTAGCTCGACAGGCTTCCTCCAGCTGGGTCACATGCTTGTTCAGGAAGGACTTCCTCCTGTCTGCGCCACAGAAACGCAGGGACACATGTAGTACAGCACGTTTACTGAAAAACAGCAGTGTCACTGCTGGCAGCAAGAGGAACTAGAAGAACCAGAGGAGATTATAGATATTTAGAGGAAATTGTCATAGCCATTTAGTTTGAATAGGCCTCAGTTGGATGTTTTATTTCTCCCTGTAGGGAGTTATTCCTCTCACATGGCTCTCTAATAATGGAGGTCATTAATGGAGAAATAGCAGGGATGCACTAAGTGTACTTGATATACAGTTTCATTTTCCTGATTTTGAAAAGTAGTAGAGTTATATTGGAGCTGAGCCCAGCAATGAGAATGAATTGTGTAGCACCTGCTATCTTCTTATCAGAGGCCGTCTTCAGCTCTTCCTTCAACTTTCTCTTCTCTTGTCGGAGGATCACTAGTGCATTTCGTATCCCATCCCTCTCTTTCTCCAGCTCCTCTTTTTCTTTCAGGTATCGCTTGGCATCCTCCTCCGCTCTTGTTTTCCCATATCTTCCATACTGGTTGCCATCTGGGTGAGAACAAAGGTGAATGGTCAAATATGCAAGGGTTATGGGAAAGACACAGGGCATCTTGTAGCAATCCTTTTGTCCTTAATAATGTCACGGGTCTACTAATCGTACAGAGGTGTAACACATAACTGGGCCTTCGACATATTTCAAACAAGTAATTTGGGAAAGGTAAATTATTTGATGCATGAATAAAAAATAAACACACAAACACTCCTGCAGAGTAAGAGGTCAGAAGGTGAGACAGTGGATCTAATGTGAGTGTCCAATAAATCTCAGGTTACATCCTGAAGCTCTCAGCCCTGGAGAGCGCTGGCGCTTTGATGTGTCAGAATGTCACGGTGAAGGCTGACTGCACCAATATCACTTTCCTAAACCTTGGACACTCATCTCCTTTATCTGTATGGCAACTGACACATTGGAGCAAATGGGAGAGGTGAGTAAGTAGGGATGAGATTATAAATGAAAATTGAGAAGATGACCGGGAGGGGGAAAGGTGAATATTGAGCCAGATGAAAGCTCAGATTTTACAACTGTAAATTAGTACACCACCAGAATGTCTGTAAGATACAATAAAACTAGATCTTTTCAGTCTGTAACTTGTGCGTGACAGAACAAATTCTGTATAGAGTATAAAGTATAATGCTCAAAAACACAAAAAAGAAGACTTTTAGAAAAGTTTGAGCCAACATATAGTGTATACTTTAAATATACAACCCGTGTCATGGTTTGTGATGCCGAATGATATTGTAAATAATTAAATATTAACATTGTGTAGCTGTATTTGTTCCTCTGTCTAATTTGATGCAATAAATCACTGTATGTTATTGAAGGGCCTTATAGAATGATTTTGACAATAGTTCAGACAATATTTTCATAACAACTCTCAGTGTGTAGTGGATGATGATGTGCAAATTAAACTTATTAACTTAACAAATAAGTTCCGCAAGGATCCATTGCAGAGCCTCTTCTTTTCTAAAAGTATTCACTTGATGCAAATGCATATACAATTGCACAGGTATATACTGTATACACTGCTGCACAAAAGGTTTACACCAAAATGTGAGTTAGGTCCATACATTCATGGAGCCAGAAGACACATTGTTCACAGCACTGTTCAACAAATTGTATGGGCTCAGAATGAGCCACAGCAGTGTTACTTCAAAGAACCAATCAAAGACACTTACTTGAGCCTGTTCGCTTGAGGGAGACTAATGGTTTGGTTCTGTCTGAGTCACTGCTTGAGAAACTTGAGCGCCGCTTCCCCTGATTCCCACTCTGCTGCCTGCAGTTCTTCCCTGACTGGGTGGAGAAGAGAAGGGTGGAGTGATGTAACAGATGGAGTAGGATGCAAAAAAGGAGGATGAGAACAGAGGAAATGAAAATATGGCACATTTGTATATTAGGCTAGGCAATAAGCTAATCATGGCTTGAAACCGCTGAGGTGCGTTTGTTTGTGGCTGTGGGTGGTGAGAGGTATGTGGTTAAGTGGATACAGAAGGGTTAAGGCAGGGGTTTACAGGTTGTAACACTGCCATGGCCTCTTGCCTTCCTGTCAGCAGTTCACTTTTTTGACTATTTCATGCTTCCACACAGCATATTTTTCTGCGCTATAAAAAGCTGCCATTGATAGGCGTGTAACAGGGCACTGTCTGTCTGTTTGGAGGACATATTCAGATACAGACAGTATCCAACAGCTGCACATGCACACAGACACATAGCTTCTAATCTCACTGCATTTAATTAAGCATCACACATAAAGCTTAACTGAACTTGGAAAATGTGTGTTTGTGTATCTGAGCACGTGCATCTGACCTGCACATCCTCATTAGGGACCTCATCATATGTTCTGGAGTCTGTGGAGGTACTGCTGGAAGATGTGGCCCATCTAAGACCAGAGAGAGAGAGAGGAGATGAATTCTGTGTGAGGTCAAAACATCACTGATCTGGACGGTGACCTTGCTTTGACCTCATTCAACACCCCCCACCCCCCAATACGGTTGTCTCACTCACAGGAAAGAATGCCGTGCAGCATTGCAGATGTTAGAAATTGTTTCCACGTCAACATAGTCATAATGTAATGATTCTGGATCTGTTGCAGAGCCCGTCTCTGCCAAGAGCACACCAAGCCACCTTCCCAGCTCCTCAGAGCTGCTTGCCTAATAAAAGACAGGACAAATTTATAACATTTCAACATCACAGGCATAATAATAGGATTTATGCCCAGTCAGGAGTGAAGAGAGTGTTTTTAGCAAAACAGCTCCCTAGTTACACAGCCAGCAAGCACAGAGCAACATTAATATTCATTTGAAGCCATGTTTCTGGTCACCCAAGAAATAAAAGCGTGACAGCTACTCTTTTGTTTTTGGTCTTCATCAGTACCTGAGTAAATATCTCGATCTTTAGTGGCTAAATCTCCATGATGTTCATGAGCTAGTTGCTATTTTTTGTTTGTTTGTTTGTTGTGTGGTGTTGGGCTAGTAGTGTACACTGGGTTTACCAGAGCTCTTTTACTGAAAACAGCTGTCTGATGCTACTCAGCGAAGAGTTGATGAGAGCTGTCAGAGTGAATTCAAACATTAAAGTTGCTGACTGTAAAACCAAACCAAGGGGCAGAAAGATGCCAGAAGGTACTGTAGAGCTGTGAGGAACTGCAGAGTTGACTGATAATTCATTGTGAGTTTGTCACAAGGATTTACCTCTTTCAAAAACTAAAAATACTTAGTTCAGCTTTAAAGTAAGACATAAGTATAATATTGTACCTCTAGAGCAGCCACCTCTGTGCTGTTCCGCAGGATTCGGAAGGCAAAGGGATGTTTGGGTCCCAGCCCTGGCACCACCTCGCAGCCTTGGAGAGGGAGAGAAGGCAGGGAAGTCCGAGAGTCTCCTTTGTCATGATAGAACTGAAGAGAGCCTCTGCACACACAACACCACTGTTCACGCCACACCTGATTCAGCAGCACTGACAGGTATCCTATACGGTGAGAAGGAAAGAAAAATGGGCCATCTGCAAACCTGGGAGATGTGAAGAGCAGCAGCGAAGTGAGGACTCACCTTGCCGAGGGTCGCTGTACGATGTCTGGGGATCCCCAGGCCGAGGGGTCTTCTTTTTGGAGAAGCTGATGATGCGTGTTATTTTACGGCCTGCAGCAAAAGGCCCCCGTTTAACCTTCCCTGCATCAAAATTGAAAGGATAAAACTGATTAATGTCCAAATTTACCTTTGTCACCTGGAAACTAATTCATATTTAGAAAGAAACTCTATCCTGTCTCAAGGTCCATTTATTTGCCTTTTGTTCCTGAGCTATCAAATGCATCTTGCGATTTTCACCAGCAGATGAAGTTTGCTCTGTTTTCATGGTGATACTGTAGCTCAGTTGTCATCATGATTATTAAACTTTGGTGTGACCTACAGTAATCCAACATTTATGCTTCTGACTTGGAAGTGGCCTTCTTATCAACATCCAAGTTATAATTACCGTATGAGTGGGAAAGTCAAATATTTCGGAAAGCCCTGATATATCTGACTTGGCGCTTAATAATAGGAAAATGCTTGAAAACCAAAAAAATATGGATGCCTCATGTCAGCCAGTGTTTTTTGTTTGAGTTAATTCAACCCAGATTGTGTTCTACTTTTAAGTATTTTAACATCCACACATCTAACTCTGCAATCATACAATTGTCTTCAGTTGTCAAATGCAAACTCCAACCACTGACGAAGACCAAGCGACAGACACAGTTGAAAAAGACCAGCTGCTAAGTGGTCCTTGAGTTAATATTTATGTCAAAAATGTGCTGTATTGATTTGAGGCTGCGTGTCTCTCTGTCTCACCATTCTCTCTGCAGGCGTCTCCAGCTGACACACCCACACTGTCTGAATCTGATGTGTTCCTTTCAGCAGATAACCTCTGATCAAACAGTACACAGACATATGTTCAGACAACAACAGAGTGCAAGCTCTACACAGGCTACAATCTATGCTTGTCTTTGACTAATAAAGAGCCAAATAACAGGCTTACATACGTGTCTACTGTCTTATAACCATCAGCATAATGAGGCAGACTTTTTCTCTTACCAACTCTAGGGTGGCTCCTCTTTCTTCAGTCTGTGCTTCTTTGTCAGACTCTTTTGCAATTTCTGTTTTGACAGGTTGGTAGGCTTAAAAGAGAATGTGCCTGTTCAAACGCCGACTCTCTACCACCCCTATCACTGCTGTCGTAACACTTAATTATGCTACATATCACCTCTTTGTTGTGCAAACCCAAAGACAGGTATCACTGTGCACCGTGTCAAGCCAGGCAATATTTAGGAAAACTGATAGTGACAACACGATTGCTGCTTCCCTCTGACTTTTCCTCACCTCAGCTGTGAACATGAATTATGTCATAAAGATTAAAACAACCGAAACAGGCTGACAAAAACATCCTCTCTTCCACACTTACCTTGTCAAGTTCGGTTTTTCTTGGACCGACAGGAGATGCAGAATCCTCAGGCCCTGCGCTCTGACCACTCACCTCTCGAACAACCTATGAGAAGAGTTTATGTGCATTACTCTTAATTTTACAGTGAATTACTATCAGGATTTGTCTTTCCCCACTGTAAAACCTGCTTCCAATGATTATCCACAAGACTGACACTTGTGTTACTGGTTTGGTTTCCTGCCTGATTACATAGCATGTCAAAGAGCAGCTTACCCTAAGCCATCTCTGGGCCTGCTCCTTGCTTTGTACCGCCAGCACGAGTGCATCTCCGTTGGGTAATGTGAACCGGAGTTCATGGTGCTTTCTTTTGCTGTCTTTGGGTGCATAGACCACAGTGCACTGGGGCAGCAGCAGGTCTACATAGGGGTATGTGTCCTTAGAACTCTTATAACACTGCAGAATGGAGGACGCAGAATACTGTAGGTTAAAGGTGAGAACTAAAAAAAGTGCAAAAGATCCTTTACTGAATGTATGAAGGTGCACCTTCTCACCTGTAGTCTGTTCTCCCGTATGACTGTGAGCTGTTTGGCCCATTGGCCGAAGCGTTTCTTGCGCAGCAGGAAGGCACAGATGCGACAGTCTCTGGCGGGAGGCATGGAGCTCTCGTCTGAGGGCCACTGATGGGTGAGTTGGACGCCAGGGCCCCTCTCTTCCTCATCCTCTTCGTAAGACTCATAGGAACTGCTCAAGGCATCAGAATCATTGTCTGGCATAACAACAACAGAGAAGATCAAGTTTGCTTTATTTGTTGCAAAAGAAAGGCAGTATATTTTTGTAAATCTATTTTAATTTGCAGATATGAGTGATCTTGGCTCACAAGAGTTTTTGCGGTGAGAGTTTATGCAGGTAGTGGGGTAGTTGTTTTCAGTATCTTCATACCCATCTTCTATAGAATTGGGAGGACTGGGCCTGACTGGAAATAGAAAAAGAAATCCTAATTAGTTCTCATGTTCCGTCATGCACTTTAATGTAACTTATATTTAATTTTGTGGCACAGTATATGACTATATTTATATGATTTATGAGTACCGAGTTTGAGGTTTTTACAGTAAAATAACACTGAGCTCAGTAGAGGTGGGAAGACGCTGACCTCGTGTGATGATGTATTCGGGCATCATGCCAGGACTGAGGGGCACTGCCTCCTCATAGTACTCCTCAGGAGGAGGCGTTGTGGGCAGAGGGGGAGGAGAGTCTGCTGAACGTGGGGCTGCAGAGTCCGCACAGTTCTGCTGAAAGAGGTACACACAAACACAAACATGAGTCTCAAATTTCCTCCATAATGATGAAAGGTTTTTTTTTCACAACCAAAGAACCATAGCATTAAAGAAATACAGAGTATAACTCTCAAAAAAGATAACTACAAGTCAGACACATGGACTCTGAGCGGTCTCTAACTCTTAACTCTTCCAACAAATCACAGAGTGATGAGAATGTGTGCATGGCAAACCCCCAAAATGGAATACAATCTCATTATTATTATTATTATTATTGCTTTCTCTCCACATTTAGAGGTGTAATTATCCTTTGCAAAGTTGAATTTGGATTTGAGTGCTGAAAAGATGGACATACAACAACATGCATCCTGCACACTCTATGTAACCATACGTGCAGGAATAAAGTCAGTATTCCACATGTAAATGATATGCATGAAAAGGAATAAGTTATGAATTTAGTGCATACTGACAACTTACCTGATTTAAAGTGTCTGTTTCTGTGTTCTTGTCTTCTTTCAGATCGTCAGTAACATCCTTCAGGTCTCCAAGTTCACAGTCTATAAATGACAACATACAATTACACTCACACTTTTTACTGTATACAGTATATAAAGCTAACATGATTAATGCCACTAACATGTTAACACTGGTGTGCATTTCACAGCACCGTGTTGCAACTCAAACTTACCAAACGTCTCAAAGAGGGATTCTACAAAGCTGGTGCCATTTCTGTAAACTGCTGAGTTCATGTAGATGAAGTCTGCTCCTGAAACTGCAAGAGAGGAGGATGAAGACATCAGAAATTCTGGAAGCTAGATGGATTTTCTTGAGAGATTACCAATCATATAGCCCCATTCTAATAAAGACAACAAAACCATCATATCTTTTAATCCTAAAACTTGCACCTATTCTAATATTTTATTCTATTCTAAAACTTGCACCTACTCTGAGCAGTTTGTCTTTATCTGGTAAAGTCTGAATGAAGACTAGAATGAAATAAAAATGTCTGTCCAATGAAATGATAAAACAAATGACAGAAAGCATTCCCCTGATACTGTATTAACAGCCAACAGATTTAACAGATCACATCATCTGTCTTTCCCCTTGTCTCTGACCTGATGGCTGTATCTGCTGTAGGAGGTTCCACACAGACGTCTTCTTCTCCTGGGTGGAGGAGCTGAGGTTCTCCTGGTCCAGCATCTTCAGCAGTACTCCCAGCTCACTCACCAACACCTCCATTGCTGCACAGGGAGGACGGGGGGAGAAAAGGTCAGGTGACCATGGGTTCAGTGTTTCAGTAGAGAGGGCAAAGGTCAAACTGACAAGTCTAAACAAACCCCAGGAACATGTAGAGATGCTCTTTGTTATCCCTGTGTCCTTCTTTCATTTTCTGTCACTTTGTTTCACAGTTTGTCAATATCAATCTGCCGCCTTATCCCAGCGTCGGCCTTATCTCCTCCTCAGCCTGTCACTAAGCAGACTAAACAATGACAAAAGACTGGAGGGCAGGAAACATGTCTGGTAATTGCTCATTAACCCAGAAGAAAAGTGGGACTGAGGCTGCCAAAAATAAGAACTCTTATACAATCAATGACCAGAACATCTTGAATGAAAAGAAGACCAGCAGCTCTGAAATATTGCTGGCTCACAGACAGACGGGCACAAACCCAAATTTCAATCAACTGTCACTCACAATGCTGAGAAGGTAAACCGTAATTGCTGCACAGACTGTCAAGATGTTGGCAGCAATATGAGATATTGACAAGAATAACTGAAGGGCCACTTTACAGAGCCTAAAGCAAGAGGCCAAATGTACCAGCATGCACACTTTCTTTCACAGGGTCTTGATCTTTATCTAACAGTTGACAGATTTAGAGTTATAGAGTGACAGAGGCTAGAGCTAGCACAGACAGGCAGACCTGCAATAAACACAATCCTCACAGGGCTCTCTGGGTTCTGTGTTGATCTGAGAGGTGGGACTGGTCTACTCCCTGTTTTCAGAACCCAATTTAAAATAAACTCACCCAGCTGAAGACAGGTCTGCGAACAGTTCCACAGCCTGCTGGTGATATGTACATTTGAATTCCTTCTTTATCTGATTTTGATGCAAACAAATACCACCGATCAAGCCCCATGGCTCTCTCCTTTTCTGTGCTGTTCTCATCACATCTTTTCTACAGTTATCTCCTCTGTATCCCTGCATTCTAATGCACATTTTAATACTGCTGTCCTACAGTCCTAAGTGAAACCTAACAACTAGCTGAGTCATTGCTAGCACACTTGTCTGCCTGCCCCCACTTCCCACTCCCTCTATCACCTTCTCTCACTCACTCCCACCACATTTTCACAGTCCAGCCACATTAGACCTGCCGCATTGTGCATCTTGCTGGGGTCAGCCACAGGACAGCCGCTGAGCCAGAAAAATCTTTGTCTAGTAAGCTGTCATATGGCAACAAGAAATGTTTCACTAAGCAAACAACAGAACATGCAGACATAATCAATTACACATGCATACAAATCTAAAACACACAGAAAGGCTAATACTTGTACATCTCTTGAGGTGTGTCAATAGTGAACTTTAGTGTACCTGTCTAGAAAGAGCACTCTTGATTAGGTGAGTGCAGTTTTAAGGCACATATTAATGACTTTTAGCAGAATGCTGGCCTGTTAGATGTATTACACTGACACAGTGATCGTGAATGTAATCACCTCTGACAAGTAGAAAGTCTTGATAAGCTGGAAGATGTATCTGGTATTTTTCAGTGATGTGTGCTCTACATTTCACACTGTTCCCACTCCTTAAAGACAGACATGCTTTCCTGAGGTGGGTCTTCCTGTGGGCTTTACAATGCCCTGCCAATAAAGATCAACAAGACTTACAGTAGGTGTGTGTTTGCCTGTCTGTTTAAACACTAGTGTGGTTTCCTTCTATTGTAACACTCACACTCTGAGAAGTTGGCATGAGGAATTAATTCATGCAAGGGCTTGGAATGTTTCCTCATTAAGATCAGATTCACCCAAGGGAAATAAGGAAGTGGAGGAGAGGAAACTTATGAAAGTGGGATGTCTTGGCCCTGTGAATGCTGTCTCTCTGCCAGAGGTTCCAGCTGTTTAGATTCTGGCTCTAGCATATCATCAGGTTTCCCCTAATCTAGTGGAAGACAGAACCTTATCACAGCATGACTCATTCACTACACAGAGAACAATCAAGACAATACTTTCAAGGACTCATACGCAACAGTTCCAAAATGCTGATTATTCAGTTAGTGTTGTTTAGTTTGTGCCAGAATGAGCAACAAGAATTTAGTATTAGGTATGTTAGGTCATAAAACTACTCCAGCCATGGCTTTTTAATCAACACCGCCCTACTCACATGGGCTTTCACACATGTAAAACAGCACATGATCCTTTAAATCTATGCCACAACTCTTCATATGTGTGTGTTTGTGTGTCTCTGACGTCCTTAAAAGCCAGGTCAACGTAATTTGTGCCTGGCACCTGAGGAAACTACACACAAGCTTACACAAGATAATAATGCTATATAAAAGCAGGTTTAATTAAAGTCAGACCAAGGAGAAAAATAATTATTTCCAGCTACAAGGAGGACAAACCATGAATTTAAACAAAGCTTTAATTACTTTGGGCTCCTTTAAGCCTAAAAAAAAACATTATGAGGGGATATTCCACTCAGGGGTATAAAATTTAAACCTTAGACAGCACAAAAGCTGGGTGCAGAGATGTGTAAAGCAATTCAAGACTCAGACACACTCAGATGTTTAGCTCCTCACACTTGCTTGACAATAGCTGTTAAACACTAGACACATTCCTCACCTTGTTTATACTCTAAGACCCGGGAAAGTGCATTTGCATTTGTATGTGTATGCTTTTGTGAAGCAGAAAGAGTCATTTGTTTAACAGTGCAGACTCAGCCCTTTAAGAGAGGATTACGTTAGCAGACATTCTGGACAAGCTCTTTGAGGGAGTGAGAAAGAAAGGGGGTGTGGTGTGAATAATGTCAGCGAGTTGAGCACCTGTGCTAACATGTCCATGTCCAACAAACCCTGCTATGGAGAATAATGTTACCTCAATCCAGTGCACAGTTTTTTTTTACTTGCTCCTTTTTACACCAAAGATTTTCTTGCTGAGTTTGCTTATCTTGCCTCACTACACACACAGACACACACAGTTAACTTCCCAGTATGTGTGACACAATTCAGTCAGTCTGAGGAAATTCTGTTTCGCAATATTGTTGCAGGAGGACATTTCAGCTAATCACATAGGAATTTGCAATCCAGAAAGAGTTTCAAGAGGCTTAAAAAATTGTATTTCACTGTTCAGTCAGGTTGGCAAACACTTCAATGCACTGCCTTTGTTGGCAGCAAACTGATATGATGCTTAGGGCCTTTACCAAATAGCACCTGGTAGTGTCTTGCATCATTTGGGGCATCACCAGAGCTTGTATGCCTTTACTTGTACATCTGCATATCTTCACAAGTCCTTACACCTTCTTTAGCTTTAGATACCTGTTGCTCTAATATAAACTGTGAAGACTTGCTTTCAATACATACCCTCAACAGCTGTGGATGAGAGTCCCACCATGTTCCAAGGTTAAGGAGGAACCGGTTCATTCATATACAAGCAGATACAGAGGGAGATATTCCAAAGTCAAAGCCTCCCTGTATGTGTGTCCTGTGTGTCTTGTGAGGTCTTTATAGTGGAGGTGAACTATAGTCTGCCCACTGTTGCATGAACACTCCCTTTACCTCTCCCTTCCTCTCTCTGATCTGTTATCTCCCTCCACCACCCTCCCTCCCCCTGTCTCCCCTCCCCTCTTTTTGGGGAGGGGTGAGTGGGTGCAGGGCAGAGTGAGATGTTGGTGTTGTATGTGTGTGAGTAATCCTGTTGGATCCTCCTCCACTGTTATCCCAGGGATCATATAGCACCTGGGAAAGGTTTACTGTGTAAATACACACATGTCGACTAATAGCTAACTCACATTCTTTATTTTTTCAATCTGTGTACATCATTAACCATTAACTAGCTGTACATAAAAGCTGCCATCCAGATGATGCCAGTGAACCTGTTAACATGCCAGTGACAGTAAAGTGCTATTAGAGCCTCTTTATCATATACCACTATAATATACTGGTAAAAACACCAGTAAATGGAGCAAATGATGCTGAAAGTGGTTATCCCCATGTTCCTGTAGGTGCAGTCATCTAAAAAATAGAAAAACATATAGGAGAGATTGAGGTTAGAGGCGTGCTGAGACCCTTCAGAGTCACACATGGAAAACTCGTTACTTTAAGGCAAACGCGTGCCCTGACACGATGCAACATGCTGCCTTCATTCACAAACACTCGAGTGAACACTGACAGACACAACCATATACACAACAATGCAGAAACGTACATGCACAGACTAAACTACCTGCTTTTACCATGTGTCAGCTGTAGGAAGAAACAGTGTCAGCTGGCTGTAGGGCAGCACAATAATCACTGTTACGTTACAACATTAGTTTTATAAGCATGTGGGATATAATGAAAACCTGTTGTTTTAAATACCCTTTGACCCATTATGACCTCTTACTGATCCAACTTACTTTCCTGTGGTAATGAAATCCACCTACTGTACCAGCTCTCTAATACCCACAAACTCACATTTGTAGGCATTTTTTTTTAATTTGCTTAAAATGTGATAAAATGGCATGTTGTGGGTTTTTTTTTTTTTAAATCACTGCTCCTGGTCAAGAAACCATACTTCTTATGATACATTACTTAGGGAAATTATGTTTTCAAATGCTAAATGTTGTCAGAACAAGCTGGTTTACTAGAGTTACAGCATAAATACAATAGTGTCATAGACAGAGCTGTAATTTAAAATCTGAATATTAAGAAGTAAACAAGACTACAAAAATGACCAGAAATTTCAGATTTGGGCGCATCAAAGTGTTTGGCAGTGGGCACCACAGATACATTTGAACTGAGGTTTGAGACCCCATCCCACTGTTACTCAATCAGTTACACTAACATCACATTCACAGAAAAGAGAGAACAGTAATAATAAAATATAGCCACAGAGCTAAAGGTGATTTTTGTTAAGAACACAGCTGTTAATCAAGAAGCTGGACAATTAGTGACCTAATTATATAGACAGGACGTTCTCCTACTGTCTAATTTTGTGCACAGACCAGACCTTCCCCAAGGCTTTCGTTTTTCAAAACATTTCCTCTCTCAGTCCT